GGTTAAGGTTTTAAAAATCTCAGTTTTATTCATGCTTTACTGCCAAGCATAGCTCTTAACTAGACCCCAAGTTTGCAGTAGGAATAGTGCAAAAATACTACTTGGGCTGGTTGCCTTCGATTCAGAGTGCATTGTGCATGAATAAGAGCCTTCTACAAGAGGAAAAAGTGTTTGCAGGATGCTAATCCTAATCTAACAAAGCTTAAAACGAAAAGACAAATGGGGCTCTGAGCAAGCAGCCATCTTCTGGTTCTTTGGCTCGTGCCACAATGTTTTCATTAGCAAAATTAACAGAGCTGTATCTCAGATCCGTCATTTCTATCTACTGCAAATGTAAGGCTTGAGTATTGATCTGCCAGAGCTTTTGGTTCTTAAGAGCAAGACTTGCAGAAGTGATACCTAGCAAACTGTGGCTGCTTTCCAGGTAGAATAATAAAACCACATAACCATTTTTGGCTTTAGTTTGAGAGAATGTAAGGGGAGCATGTTTGTAAGATCTCTGTAATGCTACTGTGGAAAGCCATAAACTTTATTTCACTCTGTTTTGTAACATAGTGAGACTTACAACAATAACTGCTGCCTTTTTCTCAATTTCTGATATAAATTGAGTTAATTATAATATGGTAAAAATTGGAAATATGTCAGGAAATTCTGACCTATTTAATAGATTTGTAAGAAGCATTACCTGATCCGATCTGTGACTTCATTTGTCTGCTACAGTGATTGTATTTTAGCTTTAATGCTTAGATACAGTAGCATGCCCATGTTGTGTTGTTGCATTGACAGGGTGGTATGAATTTCCTACGTCTACTTATTTGTTCAGTTATGGATTTTTTAAAATAAAAGGCTCGTATCATGAATCAAGGACAATATCAATAACTGCTTACAGCTCAGTTCTGAATAGCACTTGGTGCCCTGTTCATCTAATCCCTTTTGGGGCAGACTATGGCTTGGTTTAGGCTTGGGTTTGACGGTTCAAATCACTCATAATTACACAAAAAGTATTTTAATGTCTTAGAGGCCCTAATACTTAATCTTCGTGGGAGGAGAACTATTGGAACCTCTAAGAATGGACAATACTAAGTAGGGTGAAACTGCTCCAAGTTATTTAGAAGGGCAGTGGGAAGTGCTATCTGAAAGCCCTCCATTTATTTTTCTCACTCTTCCTCAGACTTTATGTCATACAGACATTATGGAGCCAGGCATTTCTTTCAAGCATAGGTAAAATGAAATTCTGTATTATCCACAGGGCTTTCTCAGAGTACTAACAGGTCTGCTTTGGGTCTTAAAATGGCAAATATCCAGGATTTTTCTTTGGATCTGAAATCTAGCTTTTAATCTGTGCACATATATCTGTGTATGGTAGATGAACCTCTGAGTTGTTGAGCCTCTTTCAGAGAGATCCCTGTACTCTTTTATACGTGGGGAATGTCTAGTTTAGGAAAAGTATTCAATTTTATATTTGGCTGAACATTTCATATTCAGAAACCAGCCTACATTTAAATTCAGAATCCAACAAAGATGATTATAGGATATATTAACAAGTTCTCTTTGGAATATATCCTTAAGTTGTTGGCATTACAACCGCCTGCATTAGCTAGACTAGTTTTCATATTAACTATATTGCATTAAAATGCAATTTTAGGAAGGGTTTTATAATTTTGGTGATTAATTTAAAATAACACTAATATGGAAAGTTATAAAATGGTTCACAGTATTAACATACGTGAGCCATGAAGCTGATTATTGCTCAGTGAATGTGGAAGAAGGTCTTTTTTGCACCGATGCGACATGTATATATTTTCCATCAAGATTTTAAGTGAGGAGGCAGAACAGATGGTTCTAGTAGTTCTAGTAAAGCTTCTCTTCTCTAAGTGTGGTGTTTAGAAGCAGGAAACCTCTCTCCCAGGTTTGTAAATCCAAGTTTTGCTGTCAGCAAACCCTTAACAACCCTCTGCATCCTTCGTTTTAACAGTGCTCCCTTCAAAGCCATATCTGGCTGTGATTTTACAGTGTGAGCTTGTCTGTGTGTGACAGTGAGAAGATGTTATGGTTGAGGATGTAAGGCAGTTTATTAACTGCTAAATGAAATGCTAGAAAATAAACATTCTGTGTAATTAAGGAGACAAACTGCCTTCCCAGTAAATAACTTCTTTAGTGGCCCATGAAAAGCACTTCTGCCTCCTGCTCTGTGAAATGGCACCAAGTCCAGCAGGCTGTGTCTTTCTGAAGCATGCAGTTTGTCCAGCCCAGCTATTTAATAGTATAAACAAAATAGGAAAGAGCTCTGTGACTGAGTTCATCCAGTAGTGAAGATTTTCTGGATGAAGTTTATTTTTGTTGCACATGGGGCTATCAGCTCTTAATCCAAAGCTGGTAATTTCTACTGCAGCAGCAGCTGTAAGATTGAGTTTCACCTGTGACTAAAGGTGTGCAGATGAGAAGTTCTGTTCATGCTGCTCTGAACATCTATTTAAGTTCAGATACTAGTCAACCTGTAGTAGGTCTATTGAAATACTTTCTGCAGCAAAATAACTAAATAAAAGCTATCTGCATTTTTTTGGTACTGTTTTGCACATTTTAAAGAAATGCAATTATTCTGCTACTGTTTCTGACAGCATCCTGCAGTCCTGTCCCTGGCTTTCTGTTATTGAAAATGCATCTTTAAAAATGCATTGCTGGTTCTCTCCTTTTGCTCCTGTACTCCGTCACTACAGCAGTTTTTATTTTCTCATTCTGCAGTGGTGGTCTCGTTCAAAGATGGTGGTTTCTGTAACGTTCTGGCAGTGTTCTGTAGCACAGCTCATACTGATGCAATGCTATCTACTTTTTATTTCTGAAACTGCCTTTCTTAATCTTGATACAAATGGTTTTTGTACAAAACTCCAACTATGCTATCTTCAGTACCTCCTTGCAAACTGTCTGTATTTAACTTTGGCCAGCCATACCCTGCTGAATGCTTTGGCTATCAAACAAAACAGTGTTTTGTCCCTTGTGTTAATTTAGGCCATACTTTAAAAATAATAAAAAAAAAAAGCAAAAACATTTGTTTTACCACTCTGATAACCTTGTTGAAGGCACTGAGTAACTTAAGATAGCACAGGATTGTGCATTTTAAATGCTTTAGTAAAAGCCAAAGCCTTATCTGTTTATTCTTTAACCTGAGTCATGCTCACCCTAACGTGGTGTTTGGATGCTATCCTTATCCTGGCAGAATGCAGGTGCTTGATAATGATCTTTAAAGCTGGTCTCAAGTTTGAAAGCGGGTGGAATGAGAGAGACAATATGAGAATTCCTTCTGTGCCAGCTGCTTTGTGCTTGGGTGGTGAGTTCCAGCTTCTGTAATGAAGCTCCAGAAAATCAAGCTGGCTGAAAGGACAGCACCTGCTCCCCTCTCTTTTGTGCCTGTGTTACAAATGAATGATATAAACTAACTGCAATACACATTTTGTATACAGGAACTCTAGGAATTCTTATGAAGACTAGTGACAAGAATACAAGCTGTTGCTTTATACAGACCACTAGCGGGTATATTTTACCACTTAAATATTCCAGTATACTTGATTCTTATCTTGAAATGGGCTATTGGGAAAATCTGAAAGACCTGGGGGAATCCCAAGAGATTATTGCCCAAGGAGGGTGGTGGAGTTACCATCTCTGGAGGTATTCCAGACCTGTGGAGATGTTGCACTGAAAGATGTGGGCATGGTGGGGATGGGTCAGCTTGGGGATCTTAGTGGTCTTTTCCACAGTTAAGTGTTCTATGATTCTATGACACTATTAAGTGGGAAAGTATTAACAGTGAATGAGTATCTCTGAATGAGTTCTCATACAGACATGAGAAATAAGTGTATTGCTGCCTATTGAACAAATACGTCCAAGGCTGCTCCTGGATGAGCTAAATCCCTGAAGTGCTCATTTTTGGAAGAGCTGAAAATGTGCAAGGGAGGAGTCTGTTCTCATGTTTGTCATATTCTGTGTGTTTCTTCTGCCTGGAAGTTGTGTACATAGATCTCTTCCTGCAGCCCAGGGTGGTAGTTATTGTGCACTGTTCCAAATAAAATAAAGCTATTGCTTGCTACTATACAACTTTCTCTTGCTGAAGTACTGGAAGATTATATTCAATGTTATATACACAATTCCACATATTGCACTTATAAAAAAAATCCCCTATTGTAAACAACTATGAGAGTTTGTATGTTTACAAGTTACTTTCTTTTTTTCTGCTTGGGTGGTAGAATTGTGTTCATGTTCTGGAAAAAATATTATATTAAACTGTAA